ATGATTTTCTATTGCTTGATTACATTACTTATGATAGTTCGAAAAGTCTTTACTCCCTCCTGATCCACTATCTTGCCACGCTCTGTTATTACTTCGGGCCAGCAATTTTCCTTATTTTCAAGAGCGCTTTGGCTCTGTTATTACTGCTGTTGGTCTTCTTTATACACTGACAAGGACTAAATCTATCATTTTCTTTCATGGTCAGGATAATTTTTTTCCTCAGTGAGTCCTCTATTGCGAATTAATTTTTTGAATGGGAATCACCAGAAATTTTCTAACAGCCCCTGTTTGAGAACGAATATTAGGGGCTGGTTTGTCCAATTGATATGCCATCTCTGTTGTGATAATGACCAAAGGGCTAGGTTCTTCCAAAGTTTTGGTCTAGCTTGATGAAGATGTTTTCCTTTTGGTACTTGTGGCATTAGTTATCCAATTTTCAACTTATTCTTCAACAACAACAACAACAACAACATCAAGCCTTTATCCCACTACGTGGGGTCGGCTACATGAATCCTTTTTCTCCATTGTGTCCTATTAAAAGTCAAATTCTCGTTTAAATCTAATAAAGAAAGGTCATTCCTAATATTTTCTAACCAAGTCTTTTTAGGTCTACCCCTGCCTTTCTTAACATAAGTCAAATCTAATACCTCTACTCTCCTAACCGGGTCATCGCAAGGCCGCCGTTTTATGTGACCAAACCATCTAAGGCGACTTTCTCTAATCTTATCTTCTACTGGAGCTACTCCAACCTTTTCACGTATATGCTCATTTCGTATCCTATCTCTAAGACCGAGTAAAGCAAGAAACAACGGGAGCTCGCTGACTGTGAAGGTAACTTTCTCACTTTCGAGGCGCTGCCTCGATGCGCCTCGACGCCTCACGCGGTGAGGCGTACGCCTCCGTGGAAAAAGGGGTAAGCCTCGCCCGAGCGTTCGAGGCTTAAGCCTCAGTTCGCCCGACCTCCGCCTCGATTCGAGGCGCGCCTCGAGGCGTCCGCCTCGAACGCCTTTTTAATCGATGGTTGTAACATTTCCGAACCAGTAGAGGAGGGGACTTCTATAAGAAGTTTCTTCGCCCTTATGAGGGAGGGGACAATTATGAAGTACCGTGAGCAGTTTGAGCACTTGGCCTAGCGACTTGACCGACTTTCGGAGGTTGTATCGGAGGGGAACTTTATGACAAATAGAGATTTTGGCGGTAGTTAGAGTGATGTGGCCTCGTGATTTAGGATATATTATGGTGCTAGCCTAGCTAGTGGAGGATCAAAGGTACTTAGAGAGAGGGGCTGGAGGTAGCAACTCAGTAGGTTCGTATAAGATGACCACCACCTTTTTGGCATCCAAGGAGCCGACATCATGTACTCTTAAGGAGACCCAGAAAGAGAAGACTGTAGGAGGAAGGAAGGCTAAGGGAAAACTTCAAGAAACTCACAGAGACAGAGCTACTTTAGAAGAGGGTGAAATGATTGTGTTTCAAATGTGATGAGAGGTATACACCATGGCACATGTGCATGGGTTGAATTCTTCAAGTTCTCGTTGTTTGTGATGACGAGAAAGATGAGGGAGGAGCCGTATTTCCACCTTGCGGATAAGGTGAGACTTTGGGAGGGGGTATTGTTAGATGCGGAACAGGCATCCCACCTGTTTAGGTAGAACAGACGCCTGTTTATTGAGGTGGGGCCCAGCAGTCTAGCAACAATTAAGGCCAACGATTTAGAGGAACTTAAAGATGGGATTAGGAGGGAAATTTAAATTATGGGAGCTATTTTGGCATTAACTATTTTGTACGCTTTGACTGAAGATATACTTAGCATGCTTCTCCCTCTTATATTGTGTGCTTGATTCTTCTCTTATTCTTTCTTCATCTTCAAACCATTCAAGGCATTTGCAAATCTCTTGGAGTGTCTCTCTATAATCAGTATCAAAGCCCAACATCATTTCGAGAATTAGCATCATTGGAGTTAAGATAATGCGCAGCATGCTTCACTCTCAGCTTAGGTTAACTACTTGATTCTTCTTGTCTTCTCTCTTACTTCAAATATTCAATGCATTTGCAAATCGCCCGATATGCCACTCTATATTAATTGTATCAAAGATTCAAAGCCCAACATCATTTCGGGAATTGACATTGGCAGCTCATCAAGATAGTGATCAATGATGTGATGCATATTAATTTAAAGGAATCCATAAAGTTCTTGATGGCATGTGCTTCTAGTTTTAGGGTTTTAATCTGCCATTGTCACACCCTGCCCAGTTGTAAGCAAAACAAATTTGGCTGCATAACAATTGGACCTTATAGCTTTTTCCAATTATCCATACATTGAAGTATCACATATACAAACATATAAAAAGTTATATCCAACAAACACAGTTCAGTGCACCTAAATTCAATCAAATGCACGTCTATCCATTAAATTGGTGAATATATATTAAATTATACAGGTTATGTTGCAAAAATGTAACCATCCAAAAATTAAGCAAACCGTCGCCAGCATTTTTCTCAGAAGTTGTGAGCCATATATTATTTATATGCATAAGAAACCCAACAGTACAAACAACCAATAATACCACTGCTCATCATTCAACTAGCTTACACATTTCTTTCCTTGGCTTTCTTAGGCTTTGTTTGGGACAGCTTTAATTTTTGTACTAAAAAAACTGCTTTAAGAAGCAGTAAAAAAACCTTCCCAAACGAAGCTTTAATCTCAGTAACTCGTTCTGCACAACCTGCCTGAAAGTATTAACATAAAAAAGTGAGTTTACATAACTGTGCATAAGTAAACATGTTATACAGATGGAGCAGTTTATATAAAGCATGGTATAATATGCAAGAGAAACTATGACCATAATGAATTTCATCTCCATTCATTTATTTGGGGCATAACATACAAGATACAGGTGAGGCATGATCTATCATGTAAGGCATGATATCATATATAAAACACGGCATAAAATATAGAGCATAACATAATATCATCTCCTGCCACTTTGTTTGAACTTAACAATATGTTGGAATTTGCCAGTTAGGTTGTAACCTCAGTTCAATAGGACCCGTCCACCCACCTCAAGCTCTCAAGACTCCAACATGGACTGTGCACGAATGTTAATGGTGTTTACTGGCATTCATCTAGTAGGTGGTTGTTACTGCAACTTGATCTTATCACGGTTTCCATTATTCCATACTGTGCCATTTGTTCTCTGCCAATATTCTAATGTTTCAAAACTAGAAGAAGACTGAATTTTTAAATTGATTATTTATCTTCTTTTTTTGGTAAAATTATTTACATCTTTTGCAAGATTAAAAATTCAAGAGGTTCGTTTTGACAAACATTTTCACCTTTTGGCCCAATTCAAGAGAGCTAGAAAATTCTCATTCTTCACGTGCATTGATGTACCATTGAAATGTTGAAATCATTATGACAAAATATTAATGTAATTTGTTTTGTTGTTAACTTGGCAGGCTTTATATAATAACACTCCATGACCACTGCTGGGATATGTTTTTATTCCAGCTAAGGAGCTATTTAAATTTTAATCAGCAGTATCCTTCCCTTGATTTATTAAAAATTGGATTGTCATTTTCAAAGGTGGAAATCAATCTATTATATGGTTTTCTATTGCTTGATTACATTACTTATGATAGTTCGAACTTCGAAAAGTCTTTACTCCCTCCTGATCCACTATCTTGCCACGCTCTGTTATTACTTCGGGCCAGCTATTTTCCTTATTTTCAAGAGCGCTTTGGCTCTGTTATTACTGCTGTTGGTCTTCTTTATGCACTGACAAGGACTAAATGTATCATTTTCTTTCATGGTCAGGATAAATTCTTTCCTCAGCGAGTCCTCTATTGCAAATTAATTTTTTGAATGGGAATCACCAGAAATTTTCTGACAGCCCCAGTTTGAGAACGAATATTAGGGGCTGGTTTGTCCTATTGATAAGCCATCTGTTGTGATAATGACCAAAGGGCTAGGTTCTTCCAAAGTTTTGGTCTAGCTTGATGAAGATGTTTTCCTTTTGGTACTTGCGACATTAGTTATCCAATTTTCAACTTATTCTTCAATAGAGGAATATATTCTTGCAATATTTTTTTATTTGCTTAGGTACCTTAGTTTGTGTCGGCTTAGAAATTCATGCTGTAGCGAATTGCTTGTCTTTGTTTTTCCCATGGAGGTAGTTCTTAATTTTCTGATTGGTTATGTTTTGGCTCATTTTCTTGATTATGGATTTGAATGGGCTTTGACATCTGTAATTTTCTCTTTTCCGTAGTAACTTCTGACAGTAATAGCTCATCAAAATAAAGAAGTTACTGTTATAATTTTGAACTATATATCCTTATGATCTCCATCCTCAGATTCTTCCCCTTCCGTAAAGTCACCATGTTCAGATGAAGTTGCAGCTCTTATTGATATATGTCCCATCTCGCATACAAAACTACTCTAGTTTGTACTTCAGATAGGTTTAGGAATGTTGACGTTGTGAGATTATCATCTGGTTTAGACCTGGATTGTCTGTCCGGTCTAATTTCTAACCCATCTAGATATCGTTCATGTTTAGTCTATGTTGATCTCAAACCCAATGCATTTCATGCCTATGTGATACTGTGATTGCCTTTTTGAAATGCATGCTGCTAATCAATTGTGGAAGGGTACATGTAATGCAAAATAAATAATTCTGAATTTTTTTTATTTGAGCATGAATATTTTAGTCTTTTTTTTCTCTAGGTTATTTTTATTTTCATCAAGTTGTCTAATAATATGCAGTACAAAGAATTTAGCTTTTAATGACTTATATAATAGATTAGATACTAAGGAGGGCGAAATATATATGTATAAGTTAGCCAAGAAAAGAGATAGGAGAAGTAAGGATTTAGTTCAAATGAAGTGCATTAAGGATGAAAATAAAAAAAAAAAATTTATTTGAAGATGATATTCAACAAAGATGGATGAGATATTTTGATAAACTTTTCAATGAAGATCGTGAGAATACAATTGACTTTAGTGACCTTAATAACCTAAATAAAAATATAATTTTTTTAATTATATATTGGTAAAATTGAATTTAGAGGGGCTTTAAAGAAAATGAAGTGTGCAAAGCTATTGGACCTAATGTTATTTCAATAAAGGTGTGGAAATGCTTAGGAGATGAAGGAATTTCTTGGCTTGTGAAACTTTTCAATATCATTTTGAAGACTAAAAGATGTCAGATGAGTGGAGGAGTGTGTTGATCCTATTTTAAGAATATAAGTAATGCACAAGGTGTGCAAATTATATAGGAATTAAGTATTTGCATATGTGATACTTCAAATATTTGCATTTGCTGCTCCTGCATTCAATTGGGGACTCTAGAAATTTTACCTATTATTTTTTCTATTTTTCTGTATTTCCATTTTCTCCTAGGAATCTTGAATATTCTGGATTATAGACTACCAGTTTCCTCATGTGAAGAATCATTTGTATTTTTATTTAATGTATCTCTTGTTTATTGTCTTTCTTATTTAAGTTTTTTTATTTATTTGTTTTCTTCCTGCTGTGTAGAAATCAACTTTATATAATGGTATTTTTCTCCCTGTTGATGATGAAGAAAAAATAATGGTGTTTTTCTTCCTAATGATGATGAAGAAAAAATAAGAATAAATTTCCCTCTGATATTCTACATTGTACTTTTCCCTTATTATATTGTCCTTGTATATCCTTACCATTTCTAAACATGGAATTGCTTTTGATAGATTATAGAAGCCACAAATCCAATGCAATTTAAAGTCATGAATTGATGTTTCATAATAGCAATGGCGACCAAGAAAATTCCGCCAATCATTATATCATTAGGCACTAAATGAGTATGCAAAACTATCTTTAACGGGCACAATCAATAATGACGTTCATCAATGGAAAAGGCAAGGATGATCATCTCTGGCTAAAAGTGTCTTCCCAAGTTAAGATCTGTATTTTAAAACGTTGAATTTGAAAATATTTGTTGCTTTATGAATACTATTGATGGTTAAATAGGTCAAAATTTCATGTGCAATGGATTGTAAAAAAAATTGAGATGCCGGCAAGTCAACTTCCTTAGATGATGGAATTACTACGTACTCCTGGAAACCAAAGGTGTACTTCATGATATTCAACAAGGTGATATTTCTACTACGTAAATTTTATAACACCCTCACTCGAATTTGGCAAGAATTAGATATTTTTGAAGAACTTAATTGGAAATGCCAAATGATGTAGCCAGGTATCAGAATATTGTTGAAAAGAATGGAGTGTTCCAAATTTTCCTCAAACTTAATAAGAATCTTAATGAAGTTATAGGAAGAATTTTTTGGAATAAAAATCTTAAAATTCATTTGAGAAGTCTTTTATGAAATGTGGATAGAAGAAAGTCACAAGAACTTCATAATGGGAAATCTAAGAGCTAAGCATGCATCAATTATTCGAGAGAGCTCGACTCTTGTTACAAGAGCTAAAAGGTTTTCTATCGGCCTTGGTATGATCATGGTTGGAAAATTGGGCACACAAAGGAAACACGATGCAAACTTTATGGAAAGCCTATGGGCTGAACCCTAGCAAACAAATTCCAAACAAAGAAGGCCATGATTTTTTTGTCACCACCGATATTCAATCAAAACAACAATCAAATCCTTTCATACAAGAAAAGTTTGATATGTTATAAAAGTTGTTTAGTTAACTCTAGCCAATTCTCGAACACTTGAAATTAGCACTGGTTTTATTTCAATAAAATTTATGGCTTTAAATGTTTCTTTTAACAAAATGAAGAAATGCCTTCCTTTGATTATAGATTCTAGATCATCAAATCACATGACAATGAATTCTTATTTCACATCCCGTATCCTAAATGATATATCATATGGATTTGCATATGGGCTAATTTATCGTGATTGTATTTGAACAATATTACTTTTGTCAACATCCCCATCATATCAAAGAAGAAAACTTGATAAGGCTATTTTTCAGAGCTACTCCTGCCCATCAAAGGTACAAATGTTATCCTTCTTTCACCCATAAACGTTATAGCGCTATGAATGTAACATTCCTTGAAAATCAACATTTTTATTCATATTAAGGGGAGAATTCTAACTATTTCCAAGAATAGTAATTTTGTGGATTGATTTTATCACCAATTGAGGTAAACCAATTGTCTTAATTTTAGCCATTGATTAGCAACCCATCTATAGTACATAAGACACCTTATTGTTGAGAATTTATTATTTTGCTTACTTGCAAGAAAGAGGAGAGTACCAGTCTTCTTTCTTCTGTGTGGAATGAAGAGTGGATATGATCGAGAATGAAGCAAAGGCCTAAGTTATCTTTCTTAATTCTCTGTGAACTTTGAAGTTGTCTACCTTGGGGCCTAAGCTGCGTAAGTTGATCCATTAATATAGTGTCATTCATTATATTATAATTCTGACTTCATAGTTATCCTTCTTTGTAATGATCATTTTCTATACTTGATTATAGCACCTTAATATACCATAACATAAATGTATGACTGAATGATAAAACAAACAGTGCTAACATTGGTGTGCTCAAACATACTATGATGAGTTGAAATTGGGTTGATGAGCTCGAGATAATACAACTTTATTAGATGGTAGTTATCAACACTATGAGGGTGACATTTTTCTAATGTTTAGATCGTTGGATCATTGAGCTCGACTTCAACGTATCAAATGAGAAGCACCACATCGTAAGATAGTGTATGATAGCAGGAACATAAATGGAACAATGGATGTGTATTGGATCATGCATGCATGCTATTATGAACTCTATAATGCTTTTGTACTTCATATTTGAGTAGTGTTACTATAACAATGCGAGCCTTGAATGCTTTTGTGATCATACTGAGCTATTTGTTGAGTTCTATTCTAATATGTTAAGAGTTTTCGCTAGGTTTATCTCACAGTTATTGAATTTTTAACTCCAAGTGACTTGTAGGCAAAATCCTGGGAAGGGAACCAATAGGGAGACCATTTGGAGGTCTAGTGGAGTGGATCTTAATTGAATTTAACGATAATGTTGGGGCCTTTAGTGACAATGTCTCCCTTTGTCGTGGGGGAGATGGTGGTCTTCCTTATGGAAGATAATTGTCATTGTTGACGGAGAGGAAAGCAAGTAACAAATGAAGTTTAGATACTGCCAATGCAGCTGCACCAGGTTGAGGGAAATCGAATTAACATTGCATAAAGATCATTGGCGACGAGAGGGGTAGAACTCATCAAGAGTGATTTAGGTTGTTGACCACTTATCCTTCCGTCCCGGCTTACTGACAACCGATGAGAGGAATCAAAGATTTGCATTCACAAAGAGTAATAAGTACAGTCTATAGCATTTCTACCCCACCTTGTTGTCAATGAGGTGAGGGGATGGCAAATCTAGATTCTCATTTCTCCCTGTGCATAAGGGAAGTTTTGTCATGTTTTTGTATAGAAAAAGGAATGATTGATCTCTCAATTGAGATCAGGAGTCTATCAGAATCCATCTCACATGCAACTTTAACTTGAACTATCTTATTATGGATGGCCAATATCGATTAAGAGGATCATATCCAATGATCTCTTGCCTTCCTTAGGCAAGCCTTCCATCAATGTATTAGGATCTCGAGGCATTGGCAATACAGTGTTTCTTGATCTCCCATTAAAAAAAAGTACCATTTATGTTTTATTATGGTACTAGCATGTCATGTTGGTTCATTGTCACAATGACTACATTACGACGACCGTCAACTTTATATTGTTCAAATCTCATTATTGACTTATTTAGGCTTCTTTTGGGACGGTTTTTCCATCGTTTCTTAAAGCAATTTTCTAGTACAAAATTGTTAATATTTGTATTAAAAAATTACTTTAAGAAACAGTAAGAAAGTCGTCCCAAATGAATCCTTAATTAGTTTAGTTTAGCCTAAACAATGTTGCTTTTGTCAGAAACATTACATTATTTTATGAAATCTATTATAGTGGTTGATCATGATCTTAATTTTTTTGTATTCCTTGATAATTATTGTTGTGCAAGAAATGAATTGCGATTTTCCAGTTAAGCTCGTAAGACATCCTTGATCGGCTTTACACCAAAAGCGACAAAGTTGTCAAGCTGATACTCAACATGCTTGTTTTTATTCAGGTTAAAGTTGCATGTGAGTCTCTTGATGAACGGATTGAGCTTCTGAGCCAGCGCATTACAGAACTAGAGAAATTGAATTCAGCCGAGTCCCCAAAAGCTGTTGAGAGCATAGACTAGATGAAATTCTCTTTATATAAGGTGTTTTCCATCCTAATGGTTGTCCTAGTGTACCTGTTGTTCATTTCAAATTTGGTTGTACTTTGAGGGGAGCCAGTTTTCATTATTGATGAGTGTTTCTATTCCTTTTTAACTAATGAAGCACACAGAGTGAGGTTTTTACCAATTGTTCAGTGGTTAGTTGCTCTGCAACTCCTTGTTGTATTTCATGATTTATTGATCTATTTATTTCTTTGTAGCTCTAGCATTTTAAGAGTTTGCACTATTTTTATTAATTGTCTGCTGAGGAGAAGGGACTGTAACGCATTCGATCGTCACTTATAAGGTTTACCCGAGAATTAGTTTTCAGATTTGGATGGTCGTTCCTAGCAACCAAGGGCATGGTGCTTCTATTATAGTTCTCTTTTCTTGGATGGTTGGCTCGGCTACCGGTGGTGATTTGGACGGTCGGTTTTAGCTATTCATGGGATTTGGCTTGCTTATGTGATATTATCTGTTGCTTGGGATGGATATTGAGCTTTCTAAGTCTCCTATATTTTTTAGTTCTTAGTTTTTCTATCCTTGGTCATTGATGTTTTTTTTTAATTTTTCAAGTTTTTTGCTTAAGATCTTTTTACAGTAATTGTAAATTTTTCTTATTTTTCTGCTGTAATCTTTTCATTAACTAATGAAAATTGGATATTATTGCTTCTAACTTTTTTCAAAAAAAAACCTTTACTAGGCAAATGCCTATTGTGCAGATGAACAGGCAAATATTATTGCTTACTCATGAGACATGAAAAGGTTGACAATGTCTTATATGTTAGGGTTATGTTAGTTTTGTTAATTTCTATTTGATCGAATAGGTCTGAAGTACTATAAACTTATATAAGTTTGTCAGTTGTCACTGTAATATACTCAGCCGTCTATATTCAAAAAAATAATAATAAAATAAAAATTTTGAAAAAAAAAACTCTTTTTCTAATATTGTCTTGGAAAGCAGCAAATACTAAATGCTGAAATCAACAAGCCAGTTAAAATTAGCTTCACACATTGTGATAGGAATATTTTTAATGAAAGTTTTAAGATATTTTTTACATATATGTCAACTTAGTGTATTTATTGGTATAAAATTATTATTTTTTAAAAATACTATATAATCTTGTACTAAGCAAAAGGAAAACATCATTGATTGAAATTCAAGATTAGTTCTAAAGCTTTCAAAATTTATTCTTCAAAATTATATGTCTTATACTCTTGTCATTGTATTCAGGTCATACAACGTGTTGCTTCTATTGTATTCAGGTCATACAACGTGTTGATTTTAAATAATACCCTAGTATCAATACATTGCATTAGAGGATTCATGTCATAATTATTTGAAAAGTTTTACGTTAGTCATCGATTGCTTGACACAATCTTTTACTTTTCTCATACAGGACTTGGGACCTAGCAACGACAATGTTATTCAATATTAAGTAATAATAAAAATATAAAATTTTAAAATCTCAAATATATTTTATTTAATATCAAAAACATAAATAACATTAAAAAAAAATAAAGTTGATCCAAATAGCCCCTAACCCATCACAAAAAGCGCTTTAACACTCAACAAATTGATTAAAAAACTAAAAACAGAAATCTTTCTGAGCATTATTCGAGCGCGTAACCTATATACATAAAACTGTCACAAATACAATAATTTATCATTGGTGCTGATCTATGTCAATTTACATCTGCCCACCGAAAAAAATGAAATTAGGGTTCATTACATATTTACATGCAAAGTTTGTCGTCATATCCAGTTGACGGCACGGCACTCCTAAGCAGAAGAATGATAATGAATGAATTAGAAGCAAAGTTCTCTCCCTTCTAAATCATGAATTCTGCATCTACGCCAAGCGACGCAAACTTTTCTTTTAAAGGAAAACTTTCCTCACCTTTTCCTTACATTGTTACTTGCCAGCAGGAATCAAACTCTCGAATAATGCCCATTTATTACTTGCCTTCTGTTTCCGCCACAGTCCGCTACCGTGTACATAATGACAAGCATTTGCAGGACGTCAAACCCTAAATGCCCATTTATAAGCATATGGATCGATGAAATAGAAAATAAGTATGGAGAAGTACTGGTGCTGCTTTGCGAGGAGAGGGAGAAGAGCTGATGTCCATCCTATTTCTAATTCGTCGGTGCTCGTTGGGAATTGTGGCCGAGTTAAGGTTCGGATGAGGGCGAGAGATTTCCGCGAGTTGGCTTCTCGGGCGGATCAATCGGAAGAAAACGAGGCGGTGGAGATCGGGCGGCTCGTGATGGAGGGCTGTTTGGCCGGACGGTGGGTGGCGCAATCGGCGAATGAACGGAGCGTACGAGAACTGATGTTGGGAACGAGGTTGAAGCCCGTCGATGAGGAAACCAACTGATAGCTAATCTTCTGTTTTAAGGTTGTAAGAAAGTCCCATACAAATAGATCAGTAGATTGTGACTTAACGCAAATATTTTGAATGGAAGAAGGATTTGTCTATTTTAAATAAATTCAATATGTAAGTTAAAAATTATAGCTATTTTCTTCTTTTACTGCCCTAGACGACATGTTAAGGTCTAAATGTAGGATTGAATGGAGATGAAAAAATAATTTCATCGCCTCCAAAAATTATGTCAAATTATTGAGAAGAATTATCGGAAGCATACATGAATCCATTGAAATGAAGAGTAGAGGTTTTTGGTCTTTCACGTTTGAAGCGGCATTCTCTAAGAGAGTGAAAAACCCTTCTTTTCACTCAAGATGAGAAAGGAGGGACAAAAATTATAATTTATAAATGGTACTCTTAAAATTATAGTTAATAAATATTGATAATAAATTCTGCTAATAATAAGACTTTTTTTGATTAATTTAGTCTTCTACAAGTATATTGGAGAATGTTGCAAGATAGTAATTGTTGTAGGTATCAGTGTTAGTTGATGAGCAACTAATGATGTAAGAAGGATGTCGATATGACTGTCCTTCTTGCAAGAGGGATGATAGGTAGCCATGAAAGATAGAGAAATGTTAAGATAAGCAAAATCTCAAAAGTAATGATTGAGATTTAGACATTGACCAAAGCTTTGGAACTCTTGAAGTATGAGAATTATTTACACCCAAAAGTTATTACTCTTGTCCGAGTGTATTGAAATAAGTTTCATTTATAGATTTCTTTAAGGAGAGTTTTAGTTATTTTTTTTTAGGAAAACAAACTCCATTGGACAATCTAAATTGATCTAAGAATTATGCGATCATTTGATTTACTTAAAATATAAGTTATTTAATAATGTTAGAATTAATTGTGAGATATTATGCTTATCGATTTTGTTTTGATGAAATGCACATTTCGACTATAAGAATGACAAATTTGGTGAACATCTGGCCTCTCGAATGACATCGAGGAATTTGTAATTACACATTCAAAAGCTTGATTTAGACCCTCTTAGACTAAGAAGAAGGTTTAGACAAAGGGTTATGTATGACTATTATTTTGTCTATTGGGGAATATGTCGATCATTATATTTATAGTCTTAACCGTGATAAATCATAAAGCTATAAAATTGTTTTTATCATCCCACAAATTAGGCTAGGAAAATAAGGCTTAGCTTGAGTTGATGTAACTAAAGTTAGTTAGGTTAAATTTGGGTTTAAGAGGGAACTAATTTGACCTTAAGACCAATCTATATTAGGTTGGGACAATTTGATTCAATTGGAAAAATCAGTCAAAAAAGTGTTCTAATCACAACTTAGTGTGGAACTCAGTTCTATTTATTGATGCCAATGTCCACTGACATCCATCATTCAAGTGTCAACATAGCGGCGACCTACCAGCATTCTCCACTGCCTTTTTAGGAGACAACTCCTATAATATGAACATTAAATCATGGCTCCTCCGACAACAAAGAAAGACAAGTCATCATGATTTTTAATTTACATAAGAAAAATTATTCCAACAAAGACCTAATAGGTTTTCCATTTTTTAGGGTTTCCATATAAAATATCCCACATCTCTTATGTGCTGCGAATTATTTATTCTTATGTGTAGAATTTTCTTGCAATGTTACAATATAAATTCTCTCATGTGCCATGAATATTCTAATACATAATTGTTGCGTCCTGGAGTATTAGCGATTGTAGAGAAATATATAGTTTAATGCCTTAGCGTTGTACGAAGATCTAGCACAAAAGCATATAAGAGAGAGGGTGTAGCATTCACCGGAGTTTTTACATGGAAACTCCTAAAAGGGGGTAAAATCATGGGGCTTGGCCCAGTTTGAATGAATCCACTAGTATTTGCAGTAGATTACAAATGAGGCCCTTCCTAGGGAGAAGGCCTTGGCTTGATGTCACAAATGTACATCATATAGAGCGCATTACATGGTGGGAGTTACAATAATACACATAAACATGCTTGTTTGGTCGGCATGACCATAGTTGATAGGATAAAGGTCGGAAAGACCATAGTAAGTAGGAGATCGGGGTCAGAAAGACCATTATCCGGCGATGTGGGTCGAAAGGACCGTAACATGCAGAAGATCGAGGTCATAAAGATAGTTGTTTAGCAATGTAGGTTAGAAGGACCATAGTAGGTGACGGAGGTCATAAGGAACATAGTCGGCAGTATATAGGGATCCAAAAGACCATTGTAGTAAGGCGGTACTATGGTAGAACTGTGGGCATCAGGTAATGTCCTGACAAAAGTTCCGACCTCATGTGGTAGTCTGACAGAAGTCCGGGCCTCAGGTAGTGGTCTAGCAGAAGTTCGGGCCTTAGGTGGTGATCCGGCCGAAGACTGGGTCTCAGGTGGTGGTCCGGCGGAAGTTCGGGACTCAAGTGGTGGTCCAGTGGAAGTCTGAGCCTTAAGTGGTGGTCCGACGGAAATGAGGGCCTCAAGCGGTGGTCCAGCGGAGCAACGACATCAGGCGGTTGTCCGACAGAACTCCAGTGGTGGTCAAGGAGGAGCGAGGAGGCAATAGCGATCTCTGATCTCTCTCTTGCTCTATTGTTTGGAGCACCCCGATTCAAGAGGAATGAGGGGTCTATTTATAGATTTCCTAAAAATAATAATGATACTATATAAAGCAATCATAATTGTTTGTTTCTAAAAAGTTCAATTTAGTCCATCAACTTTATTGTTTATTTTGATGGGAATCGGTGAATGGAAGCTTTTTATTAGAAAATTTTAAACTTTTTGGGATCAATCTCATTAATTTGAGCAAGTATCAAGCAACTAGTTTAATTAGAAAAAAAAGTCTAAAACATCCCATTAAAAGCTTCTATCTATCAATTTTCCTTTAAAAATAATAAAATTGTAGGTATAACTAAAATGTTTCATTTTTGATAAGTTAATAGACTAAAATGAGTTGGTAAAAAAATATGAGATTTAAAAAAATAGGTATTATAGGACCATTTTAATCATTTGCTTTCTCAAATATTATCTAATAAGTTATACTTAAATACTAATAAAACTCTTTTCGTAATGTTTAATTTAATTTTAAAAATTATATTTTTTTCAAGCATAATAATAGATGAAGACGATTTTTTTAATATTTCATGTTTGAATTTTTATCTATTTAAGCCTTATCAACATGAAATACTTGAATAATTTGTATTATCATGAGTTTAAAAATTATAATATTTATTTTAAAATTAATTTTATAAATGTAAAATTCACATGATACTATCTCAAAAATAAATTTAATATTTTTGTATGTGCAAAATTTTTTTATGTGTAACATAATACAAATTATTTTAGGATATATTGTCATTTTTTTATTTATATAATACGGTGCTAGAAGGCCTTGATAAAATATTCTAATTAAAAATATAATCATAACAAATAAGTCGTTGAATACCGAGCAATACGCGAACATAGTAATCCCGGATTCGGTCTGAGTCGGGTCGTCGGGCCGCGCGGTAAAGAGTAAGTGCACGTGGCGACATATTATAGGCTACCTGATGTAGCTCTACGTCAGGTAACCTGACAGAATAATTTTTCCAAAAGTACATATAAAGTGCTTGTCAAAGCGCAGTCATAAATCACAATCAAAATACAATCACAGTACAATTAAAATACAGTCAAAACATAATTAAAATACAGTTAAAATGTAGTCAAAAAATACAATCAAAATAAAGTTTACATTACAAATTTTAATTTAATATCCAAACCTATTTTTTAGGTCCGGTGTCCGGCCGAATAATTTCCCACAAAATACCCTAGATGTTTGGCGTGTTATAAAGGTCCACCCATGTAGAATTCAGCCGTCGGTTCTTCGGTTCTTCAGCGAAGCGAATTAGGGTTTCTTGCGAATCGCCCTTGTAAAGATGTCCATCGGCATCGGTGAGCAGGCTTGCAGCCTCGCCGCTCTCTTACTTTACGATGATGGGATTCCGATTACGGTACGACAAGCATATTGATAAATTTTGGAATTACATTCTTGAACATTAATTTGAAGGGTTTCTGTTTCATTTTGAGTGAGCAGGCGGAGAAGATATCTACGCTGGTGAAGGCTGCGAAAATCTCAGTTGAATCTTACTGGGCAACCCTTTTCGCGAAGCTTCTTGAAAAGAAGAGCGTTGAGGATATCATCCTTAGCGTCGGATCAGGTTTATTTTTTTTTTTTCCATTATGAATCCCTTTGTTCCTTTTATATTCTCTGACTATTCTCTATATGTTCTATGTTCCTTTAATTTGCTTTGCGAAAGAACGCATAATAAACTTTTAGTTTTCTATTTGAGTGGTTTCAGGCGGAGGTGGCGCTGCTGTGGCTGTAGCGACTCCTGCAGCTGGTGGCGGCGGTGGTGCTGCACCAGAGGCAGCCCCTGCTGCTGAGGAGAAAAAGGTTTTTGTCGTGTTATTTTCTTGTAGATATTGCATGCTAAAATAACCCTTATTGTTGCTAACTTATGCTAAAATAATTTTCCCTTATTGTTGCTAACTTGTTTATGGCGTTTTTCTGTTAATTTGCAGGAAGAGCCAAAGGAGGAGAGTGACGATGATATGGGTTTCAGTCTTTTTGACTAGAAATCCACTTTTCTTGTTTGCCTTGTTGGGTAAAAACACTTGGTTGGTGTAATTCTCTATGCTTTTATTTATTTAGGATTTGGTTGTGTATGGTATTTTGTGTCTCAGATGCACAGCTTGATTTTCCATGCAAAAAACTGTTTTTTTTTGCATGGTTAAATCTCAAGTGAAGTTTATTTTCCAAGTGAATTGATGTAATTTTGTTTTCACATTATGAGGTCATGATTTATGATGGTTGTTTTTTTTGTAGGGAAATAATCCTTTTTTTTTTTGCTTTTTATTTGAACCCTGATCCTGAAATTCTACTTTCCACAATGCATTGAACTTTTATCTAAATTGTTATCATAGTGTCGGTTAATGGCCCTAGAAAGCGATGCTACCATTGATACAAAACCTAGTAGGTTACTAGGGAATTCACTACAGATGTAGTGACACTTCATTCCTATCATAAATATTGAACATTATCACTACTCATAAAATAGTCATTGGTATAATTATCTTTCATTTCATGCCATTTTATCATCATAGATGTAGTAGCACAATGGGTCTTGTTCTTCTTTGCTAGGATCATCATCTGATGCAATCAAAAATTTGGGGGAGAGACCCAAATTTTTTATCACAAAAAGCAAGCGTCTTTCTAGGATGATAGAAAGACATAAAATACTTAAAAGAACACAAATACTATAAAACACAACTTTATATAATAAAACGACTTACAAACTTTTGACTCAAATGACACTTACAATTTGGACGTTTACAAACTTTGACACCAACAAAATGACACCCTAAACTTGCTTACTTTGTCGGTTCCAACAGCCCGCATTAATTCTGAAGGAAACTCACGGCAATTCCAAAGGAGCCATAAAGCAAACAGCTCATAAATGTGCCGCCCATTAGCAGCCAATAGAAGCCATTCAACATGGAAAATAGCATGGGAAGGGGAATGGACAGCGTACGAACCAAACAACCAGAAAGTTTCAGCATAACTGATCCGAATACAACATTGAAATTCAGCAGAATTCTAAAAGCCATTAGTAACTATATCCGAACTCAAAAGCCAAGGCATTTTAGAGAAAAATGGGCCAAGCCCAACAAGGTGATGACAGCCCATAAATAAATGCCCACATAGCCAAAGGAAACAAGCAAACAAGGCAATGAATTGAAGCATCATGTGGCTGCATAAGGGGGTATAGCTTGCTTACATCAATTTTTTTACTAGACATTAATGAGCTAGAGGAGTCAAAAATCAAATATTGAATTATTTGTATGTGATATGTGTGAATCAAGATGTATTATATCGTTAATTGAGTTAATTTTCAATAAAATAAAGTAAAAAAGTAAATAAAAATACATATATAAAGGGTCCACCGATGTATAAGAGCCGTCCGTGCTTCTACGAATTAGGGTATAATTCTCTTTTTGACATACATATATGCATGCTTGCAAAAATAATAATTCTTTCAACATTCATCACAAAATTTAGCAATTTTTTATCTCTTATCTATTTTGAACTCTATTCTTTCAAGATTTATAATGAATGATGAAAGAAGTGAGGGTAAATAGCTTTATCCTTCTAAATGAGTAAATTTTAATCTATATTTAGAATATAAGGATATAATAATGTCTTTTATCCAAATTGAGCCAATAAATCATCCAATCACTTCCTCCCTATTTATAAAATTAATTCTCATTTGTCTTTTTTAAGATAAAAATACTATCAAGCTCTTAAAATATGAAAAAACTTTTAACTTTTATTCTAAATAATTTTTTTATTCTCAATAACTTAAGTTGAATCAAATACTAATACGTCGGTTTTCTAGTAAGTAAATAGTTAAAACAATTGATAAAATATTTAGAAGATAAGGACTCTAAGCTGTCTCTGAGATATGATCTAATCTACTGGTCAAGTAATTGAACCAACCGCGATAATTAGCTACGATTCCCTCCTGAGTCGATGCAAAGAATTGCTCATAGAAGTCTCCTCCCCTATCGGCTCGGAAACATTCTAGTAAGCATTCTTTAAACTCCCTCCTTTCACGTCATTGGTACCATGCAAGTGCATTCCCTTCCAAACACAATCCTGCCGCAATCAGCTCTCCTCCTCCGTCAGCCTGTTAACGGCAAAGTATCGTTCCACCTTGTAGATCCAACCATGGATGTCTTCACCCTCAAAGACGAGCATCTTTAGCTTCCTCGCCCTTGGGTCTCCCCCGTTTCCCCTGAATCCGCCATAACCTCCCATTCCTCAAAAAATAGGTGCTCCCCAATTGTCTTGATCTTCCCTCCAACGATCATACCCAAACCCTTCATCGTATTCCCCTCTTCTCCCTTCAAAATATGCACCTTGACGATGAAATTCTTCCCTTCTCCCGACAAAATCAGCACCCCTTCGATCATATCCCATACTCATCTCTTCCCTAGAAAGAGGTTCTAGGGGAGGCATCCCATCATCTTCCTCAAGCATCTTCTTCATCATGTCCTCCAAAGCGGCAAACATTCCATCCATCTTTTTATGAATGGATGTAAATTGACTCTGAAAATTTGAAGTTTTCTCTTCAAAATATGTCTTCAGTTGACCTATTTCCCCCTCCAAGACTTCATCAACTTTCCTTCCGGCCATTTACTTTCCCAAGATCTACGAGAAGAACTTCTTGCGGATAAAAAAAATCCTTGCTGAAATTTCAAAAATTCTGCCGCCGTTGGTCCCAAAATCACGCTATGATACCAATTTGATAGGAAATACTTGAGTTCGCAAGTAACCCTAGGGTAATACTTGAGTTCACAAGCAAGCCTAATCAAAATTGATGGGCAAAACAACAAGAAAGTAGTGGACAACAGCCAACACATGAAAACAGAGAAATTTTTGAAGAAAAAAAAATGGAAATAGCTTGTATTCCACTAGTAGATGAATGAGAACAACAAACGATACAATGTTCTTCAATTTTAGAGAAAGAACAACTCTCCAAAACTCTCTAGCAGAGCCTAGAGCCCAAAACGAAGAGGAGATCTCAAAATTATAGCAAATCTCAAGATGCCCCCAAACCCTAGCCCCCATAGACTAATTAAAGCCAAAGGAAATTTACAAAATCCCTAAATAGTCCATAATTACAAGAGAAGGGGGCCTCTATACATAGGCCTCAAAAGAAACTAAAAGACAAGTTTGTCCCTTGGGCTTATATAAGACAAGACTTTTAAATAAAAAGGGTAAAAAAGGAAAATTGCAAAATTAAATCAAAATACAATTAATAGACTAAAATAAAGTGGAGTGATCTCGGCCGTCGATCTTCGACTTTTCCTTTGAATATCGTTCATCGTTGGATGTCTGCATCAGAAAGGTTTGGGTGCGAGCAGAGGAGAGATGATTGGCACAATTGAGGGGAACCACCGCCTTAGGGATTAGGAAATTTTGGAGGAAATAGAGTTCATTTAGGAGATATGTGAGTGAGGAAACTGAAGATGCATATTTTTTAGGGCGAGGATGAACATAGGTGTATTTACAGGGTGGAAATGTACTTTATCATTAACAGGTTGATAGAGGAGGAAAGACTGATGACAGCTGGCATTTGTTTGGAAGGGAAAGCTTTGGCTTGGTACCAGCGGTGGGACATGCGACGACCCATATGGAGTTGGAGGGAGTTCAAGGATTGTTTTGAACTGGCAAGGGAGGAGACTTCTACGAGCAGTTTTTTGCCTTGACATAAGATGGTTCAGTGATGGAGTACCGGGAGAGATTCGAGTACCTTGCTAGCCGATTGGACCACCTTCCTGAGACAGTGCTAAAGAGAGGGGTGGAAGGTAGTAGCTCAGGAGGCTTGTACAAGATGACCACCACCTTATTGGCATCCAAGGAGCCAACACCAGATATTCTTAGAGGGGCTTCAAATGAAAAGATTACATGAGAAAAACCTAGGGACAACATCAAGAAGCTCATAGAAACGGAATTACATGAGAAGAGGGCGAAGGTGCTCTATTTTAGATGTGATAAGAAGTATACTCCGGGTCACATGTATAAGTATCGAACTCTTCATGTTCTTATTGTTTTGTGATGACAAGGGAATGGAGGTAGGTGTTGTCTTTTTATCTTGCGGACACGGTGGATCTTTGGAAGAGGAGTGTTGTTTGAATAGTCCAGCCGATTCTACGGGACCGGCCCGTGCGAAACATGCAGAGAATGACCGCCTCCGGTACGCATTGATCGCACGCCTAGGCCAAACCACACTATTTTGGAAGGATTTTTGAGGGAGGAGGGAAATTTGAATGTAGGGATCGTTTAGAGATTTTCTTTTGGATTGTATGCATTAAATAATTTATTTTTCTAGGGTTAGGGCATCTTGAATTTGGCTGAAATTTGATATCTCTTAGTTTCTTTGGGCTCTAGCGGCGTCTAGAGATTTGGGGGAGAAAGATACTCCTCTCAAATAGATGATCAATTGTATATTGGTATTTGTCGTCCATATCTTTGATTATTGCAATAAAAACTACTTTTTTTTCGTTGAGTTCGAAAGAGTTTTCCTCGCTGTTTTTTCGAAATTGATAGGAATTATTTTAAAACTTCAAGTGTTTCTTATCATAAAATTACTAGATATATGAATTATGTTACATTTTTTTTTTTAATTTATTATGAGTTTTAGGATGCATATTCAGGGTGAATGATTGACACTATTAAGGAAATTGATGGTCTCTTTCTCCTTAATTTCCTTAAATAATAATTGAAAAATTCTCATTGCATATTTTTTAATCCCTCTAATCCAAATAATGCAATTACAATCATATTATGACACTTTTATGTTGGACATCTGAGTGTCATGTATTTTAAACAAATATTTCCTTCTCTTTTCACTTATAAAAAATGCAAAGTGATCTTCAATATAAAATTTATCAACTTTCTAAAAAGCACTCGGAACTGTTACCATAGTCATTAGTATAAAGCTTCATAAAAACTTCGTCGTTATACATAGTAAAATTTGGAGTCAATCTTGGGTTGACAATATCTCTAGGGCTATAAGTGGTTTGTATCCTTTGTTATTGACCATACTGGAATTACTTTGATACTATTAATAGAAAACAAAGATCAAATTGATTTTATGTCCAAAATTTTCATTATATTACCCAAACTTAATTCGAAATCTAAATCCAAGTCTTTTGAATTGACTATGGCAGATAATATTTAATGTTGTCCTTGAAACCTATCTTTTTGAAAAAAGTTATTGTTCATCAAAGTTCCTGCATTATACACTCAACAAAATAGGTTAGTA